AACATTTCACTCTCTAAAATGTAGATGTCATTGTAACCTTATTTAGAGAAAAAATATATTTGATATATAATTTGGCTGTCTTTTAAATAAATCTTTCATATAAAGTTTTGGTCCTATGACCCACTAATAAATGTGGTAAATAATCGTGATTACAATATTGACCAAATGAATCATGATTATGATTTTTGTCATAATCAAGCAGCCCTACTATGCATAAAACTCAGCTCTCAGTAGTGAACGAAGTCTGTATGCAGAGCAAGTTTTTAGTTTTTCTGGCAATAATGCCTAACCTTATTTTCATGCATTCAATTGTGTTTTGCCCTATCAGTGTATTTATGCAAATAGTTTACCTTGAATCAATTTGAGCCACATCATAATTCCTTGAACCCGTTGTCATTTAACAAGCACAATTGCACGTATTTACATTAAATGGCTGAGTGCAATGTTGATCGTTATTACACATGTATGCTACTGTTAAAAGTCAGTAACATGTTTATCTTATTCATTTATTTAAAGCCTCTTGCTGTCACTTTTGATCAATTTAATGCATATTTGCTGAAGAAGTGGTACATAAAAATATATATATATATACATATATATCGAATGTTAGTGTTAATGGTTTCCTTAGTACATCAGTTACTTTACTGCCACCTAGCGGAAAAAATGAAATTGCTGGTTTAAATCTATTTAAATCAGTAGAGCATCAATTTATGCTCTATATTCTTGCACATGCAGGTGGATTCACAGAAGAACAGTTTCACTCCCATCAGCAGCAGCTGGTACAGATGCACAAACAGTTACAGCAGCAAGAACTCCAGCAGAACTCGACAGCACCAGAACTGCACACACACCTGCCTGTGAGTTTATACACTAAATGACAGACATTATGGTGCTTAACCTCACTCCCATTCTGTTCTGTAATTATGAATTCATCAAAAATGTTTTTCTTCTACAGAACACGGCGTCATCTGACTGCATGTCGAAGACTCTGGATTCGGCTAGTGCACACTTTGCTGCCTCTGCTGTGGTCAACACTCCTAACAATGAAAACAGGCCCCAGATCGCTAGTGTCAATGGCGTCCTTCCTAATACAGGCAAGTGCAACTTCATGTCATTTGAAGTCTAAAATTTTCAGTAGTTCTATTGCAATGTTTTAGTCCCAATATTTAAAAAAAATGCTTTATAGCTATACTATATAACTTAGTGGGGGAATAATAACAAAACTGTTAATGAGACCTACATTTATTTGGAGACTTATATCAAACTCTTTGTTTGGTGGTTAATTTAAAGAAAGTTAAGCATATTTGATTACTTAAATCGATTATTGAAATGATTCTTCTGTCTCCTGCAGGAAGCTTTAGACAAGCCAAATTGAACCGTTCTGTACAGAGTGGAGGTGGTGAGTCAGGCTCTTTAGTCCGGATGACGAATGCATCTCTGCCTCATGGCCACGGGCACCTGAGCACCGTGAGCACTGTGTCACCTGCCCATACGCACCACAGTGCACGCCTGTGCGCCCCTTCACCCTCAGCCTTAAAGTTGGCCAGTGTTGCTAACAGTCTGGACCGGGTACCCAAAGTCACCCCCACTAGTGCCATCGACATTGCCAGGTCTGAACCCAGACACAGCGCTTATTCTTATTCGCTTTACAGTGAAAATATTTTTTATAATTTTTTTTTGGGACGGCGAAAAATTAATTTAAATGTGTAATCTTTTTTTTTTTTTTTTTTTAGAATTGTTCAAAAGTTTGGGATTTTATGCTTTCGATAGAAATTAATTCTTATTAATGTTAAAAATAGTTTTGCTGCTTAATATTTTGTGGAAACCATGATTTTTTTTTGATGAATAGAAAGTTCAAAGGACAGAATTTATTTGACAAGTAACATAATAAAAATCATCAGAAGTGACAGTAATGACATTTAATGCATCCCTGCTGAATAAATGTATTGTTTAAAAAAAAATAGTTTAGTGTATCTTTCAATTTCAAATATAGAATGAAAAGTTTAAATAATATATCATATGTTCTATTGCTATTGCAGGGAGAATCACGAACCAGAGAGACTGGCTCTCAACGGATTGTCAGAGACCACAGTCGCCATGGAGGTCACATAGCCCATCCAAAAACACAGAGACTGCAGCGCTGAGAGCTGTGCGCTTCTACACCGACTTATACCCAATAACAGCATATCAAAATATTAAGAAATTTGTCAATATTATAAGTGTACATTTTGTAAAATTGGGAATTATCACTACCTTGTAAAATAGTATATTTGTATCATTTGTCTGTCTTTTCTGTTACATGAATCCTAGATTGTTTTTTTGTTTTTGTCATCATGCTTTTGCACTTGAAAATGCAAGCAAGACAAGTGCATCAGTTCATGTTGGGATCATGAGCATGAATATAGGTCCTGCGTCACTTGTTTTAACTATTTATTTTGCAATGTTTACATTTTTGTATCTCGTACAAATAAATCCGATTTTGTGACCACAAAATGCAGACATAGCTAGTATACCATGCTTTGTGCTTGTTTCTTTATAGGAAGAAGAAAGCTAAATTTGGTTTCACAGATATGTACTTTCAAAAAGGGTGATCTTCCCTCTCGAAATGTCAACCATTTTTAATTGGTTTATTTACTTGCCTTCCTCTCCTTGTCTTACCAAGAATAGTATGTTAATTCTGGAGACCAATGGGCTTCGTCAGAATGTGCTTATGAGAAGCTCCTCGAGAAATCGAGCGGAAGATCTTCAGTTTGTCATTTACATTCTGCTCTTCTGACGGAAGCCCTCGTGTCATTTGTCTTTAGCCGTTGCTGGTTAACCAGTGTTGAAGGAGCTGTTCAGGGTTCTGACTGGTGTTGTATTGAAAGTAAACTACAGGTCACAAATGCTGTCAGCCATCTTGTTTATGAATGCTGAAATTTATACATCCTCAGTCCAGTGTCTTCAAATAAATTTCCCCTTTTCAAATGGCCTTTTTAATGAAATGAGTGAATCTACTACCACAGCTGCCAGTCAACAATTACATTTCAGTTATGATAACTCGGACATGCGTGTTTTGTTTTTACGATGTTTAGGGAAAAGTACATAAGCCTATAGGCAGGCCTTCTTCATGAACTTAGCTTGACAGTCCATAGGGTTTGCTAGTGTGGACGTGACGGATCTTTAAAAGCTATTTTAACAATTCAAGGTGTGTTATTATTGTGGTCAGCTGGTGAGTGAGTGCTGCTTAGTATGATCAGTTTCTTGCGTTTTTGTTTCTTTTTAAAAAAAATTGTTTTTAGGATTTAATATGTAGTTTTAACAATGCAAGAATGGGCTTTAACCACCAGAGGGGGCAAATGAGATCTTCAAGCCGTATTGCCAGGAGGAAGCTGCTAGTTTGGCAGGTTCCCCAGAAGTATTGTGACCTGCTTCCTGCCGTTTTTTGCTCATGAAAGTCTTTGAGCCAATCACCTGAGCCCTACATGCTAAAAATCTGAACTCAACTGAAAATGACTTTCTCTCTCAATGCTGAGTGCCACACAGTCTCAGTATTCACATTTCAGGGGAATAAAGCTACAAAGTGCTTACTTCTAGTTGTCTCTGCATATTAAGCTGGGATAAGATGAAATATTTTAACATCGCCTTCAACTAATCACCAAAAGCAGCGCTGGCAAAGTTATGCCCTTACAGTCGCTCTTGAGATGGAAAAACGTAATTTCTTTAAAACAAAATCCACCCCAAACATTTGATTAGTAGTGCATACTGGCAACCCTAACAAAATAACACATGAACATAGCAAAAGCATTTTGTCTGATTTTTCTGTTTATTAATTTTTTTCTTAAATGGAGCTTGTGTCTAAAGACAGAAGAGTGTTTAGCTTATATACAAATGAGCAAAGAACAAAAAGTCATTTCAGATAGGAACATTTTAAAGGAAGTGTTCTGTTTGTATGGTTATTCGAAATAGATCTACAAAGTAAACGCAAATTCAAGAATACTTCAAATTGTGACGCTGCAGCATTGTGATCCAGATTATACACTAATTTGCTGAAACCTTTGAACGGGATCAAATTGAAATACAGTAGATGTTGCAAATGTTGAATACAACAGAATCACTTTTATATAAAAAAATCATACTTTTTCAGCAAGCTCATGGAATAAACTCTTTAATTATTAAATCACTTGCTGTCTAAACTGATTGGGCTTCTATATAGGCTAAAATCATTGTTAATCCCTTTTTGTTCTTGTGCGCAATATGTCCCTTTATTAGGCCTAATATTCATAAAATAGCATAAGACACTCATTACATGTACACTCAAATATAATATACCTCTTTGTGCAGAAAAAAGAATTTCACATTCTAGATTTAAAAAATATATATGTGAAAAAAAGGCCTATGAAAAAACAAGCGGGCACAAAAGCAACTCTTTTCACTGAATGAAAGGAAGCGCTGTAGATCTGCTGCTGCGTCAGAGGTTCATGTTCTTCATGGCTCGCAGATCAAAGTCTCCACAACAAACTTGTTTTCAAAATGGCGGATCGTGTGGCAGTTCAGAGCCTCACGTTTCTGCATACCTGCAGTGGAGCACATTCAGCTTTCAGACGTTTGAAATGTACTTGTTTATACGGTGAACATGAGACGAAATACTGCGCCTCCACCACTTATTTGTGCTTAAAACTTGAAAATGAGATCCACTGTGATGGTGGAGAGATGTAAACACTGTTTACTGTAAACAAAGTCTTATCAAATGCTTTGTTTGTGTACACTTACCCAGTATGGTTTCTCTGCGCTGCAGTCTGTACGTGTCTTTGTCTTTGCACAGTTTATTGATGTAATAGCCCAGATCACTGGTGCTGTCCAGCCTCTCTGTAATCATCATCTCCTCTCGCACAAGGTATGTCTGAGGAAGATACATTCCTGCCTGCAAAAACACACACACACACATCAACTTAACGTCTGAAATGCATTTGTGTGAAAAACACATTCACGCCAACACAAGACCCACCTACTGACACAAATTCACAGAATCTCCTGTTATTAATGTGGCTGGTTACCTTGATGTTGACCAGGAACTCCTGGAAATCTCTGGGCGGCATGACAATAGATGTGTTCAGGTTGATGATGTAGCATTTGTCCAGATTCAGGTCGAGGTAAGCAGTCAGTTTCTGACAGCACAGAATGACACACAGGGACTTAATTAATTAATTCAAGAAAACTATTTTAGAAGAATGAAAGATGTAACAAAATATTCAAGATTGAGGGAGGACCAAAAGTAAAATGAAAAGAATTAGTCCTTGACAAACCCATATTGATTATCCAGTAATGTAAATATGTCAGCTTATTAGGGTTCTGTGGGACTTTTTTTTTTTTACATTAAAAAATTGTGATGTTTTGCAACCTATAATCTCAGAAACTGAAAATTTCAGAAAACCAGTCCATCCCTGTTCAATTTATAATGGATACAAATGCAGCAGCGTGACTGATCATATGTTTATGGTGGTTATGGCTAAACACTGTGTGCGTGTGTGTGTGTTTTTGTACCATGGCGAAGTCATGCAGGATGCCAGCTGGATCGCCGTCTGCGAACTCAGGGACTGCTACTTTGATGAGCTCCACCTCATCGTCTTCGAAAAAACTCACATTCTCTTCAATCAGCCTCAGCGGCGCCTCAACCTCCACCTCCTCATCAAACTCATAGTCTTCCTCAAAGTACTTCAACCCACAGACAAACACCTGCTCCTCCTGGTGATATAAACACATACAGCATTAACACAAATTGACAACTACATTTCAAAGAGCAGTTCGGTACCAACAAAATGTACACTTATCTAAAGTCAAATTCATTATTTGCTCATTGTGGGAGGTGCATGACACATAAGCTTAACAATACTATGGTGTCTTAGGGGAAAAAAGCTTGATACAGAAATCATTTACAAGTACAAATCTAAATGTCCTGCTGTCTGAAAAATTCTGCATTTTTCTGGAAGAATATTTGTGACTTTCTCTCAAGATGTGTTCACTTTATAAAGAGACGTTTTTTTTCACATTTTAAATATTAGTGACTAGTTTCTTAGACCTTGCCAACATGTAAAATGGCTTGCACTGTTGCACATACATGTTTACTCTCAGTGCTATGCAGTCTAAGTTGTATCTTGCATAATTTTGTGATTTTTGAGGATGAGGGCAAGTCACGGGGATGTTTGCATATTGGCTTGTGGCTAATTTTGCTAGCTTCTACCAAGTGGCAGATGATTTTGAAGTATTTGCTGTTACAGAATTGCCAGGCTCCAACATCAGCCAATCGCAGCGCTCACCATCACCAGAATTCTGATCACACACGCCTGCTACTCATCCTGCTCACTCAGTAGGACTGCTACAAACGCACACACCTCGTCTCACCTCATTGTCTGGTCTCGTTTGTACAAAGTGGACTACTTACCTGACTTTCTGAACTCCAGCGAGTCTTCCCTTCCTTCATGTCTCCAGTGTTCTCTGTTTACAATTCCTATTATCCGGGTACCAAGACTGTCAAAGCTGATGCCCTCTCCCGTCTTCATGCTCCAGAAGAGGTCACAGAGGAACCTGAGCCCATCTTGCCTCCCAACTTGATTCTGAGTCCCATCCAGTGGTCACAGCAACTAACCACATCCTCCAATGCCCTTGAAACAGCTCCACCGGGGTGTCCCAGTCAGCGCACCCCAATCATCACCCAGCAGCCATCAGCACACTCTCGCTGCTTAAAGATCCTTTCTGGTGGCACAACATGGCCAGGGACGTGAGAAGATTCTTTCAAGGCTGCTCTGACTGTGCCATCTCAAAGAGCCCAAGCCATCTACCAACAGGCAAGCTCCATCTGCTGCTGTTCACAATCGCCCGTGGTCACACCTAGGAGTGGACTTCATCAAAGACCTGGCCTCCTCTGATGGTAACACATGCATTCTTGTTGTCATTGATCGACTTTATAAATCATGTGATCTGCTTCCTCTCAATGAGATTCCCACTGCAATGCAAACTGCAGAACTCGTCTTCAATCACGTCTTTCATGTCTTCTGGATTCCCGAGGACATAGTATCAGACTGGGGTCCCCAGTTTATTGCAAAGGTATGGAAAGCTTTCTTCCCCCTCCTAGGTGTGACACTGAGCCTCTCATCTGATAACGAAACCCTGTGACGTGAGGTCAACCCTGGAACTCGATCAAACAACACACAGGGCAAGCTGAAATGTTCTGAAGTGTGGTTACATTTCTAGGGCCATATGGTTTCTGCGAAAACACGGACGGTATCGCGGAGTCCATTCATAAAAAAGTAATTTACTCTATAGCGCGGAATGCCACGGAATTCGTCAATTTTTGGATGAATATATCAAAAGTAGGTCCGCCACTTCATTCGAATCGCAATATGAACTAGTGTCTGTGAATATTAAAAAGCAAAAAGCTGGTTTAAATATGAATCCTGTATGTTCCACTTGCCTCTGTATTTATGAATGGCGGAAACGCAGTTTTGTTTACTACACGAATACTGAAGCATGCGTGATGCTCGCGATGATTTTCGGCCTCTGCGTCTCACTATATGACAGCATGAACACAAAAACTTTATCTCTAGAGCTGCTTCACGAGAATTTTACTGTTTCATTTGAGAAAACTAGCATCATCATTCTGTGTATTACACACAGAAACGTCATGGCAACCTGTCAAAATAAAAGTATGGTTTAACATGTAACAGAAATATATTACTCTTGTATTACTTTTGTACAGTATAATGTACATCTTTAAATATTCCATTTTCTATTAAATTTAAATAAAAAAATTAAATGATGAAAATAAATATTACAACCAGATTAATCACTTAATTGTAGAAAAAATTATACAATTATTAGCCTATTAATAATTTTTTTTTTTTCTTCCATGTATTAATTTCAACAGTAAACCTCAGTTTGTTTGCCAAAAAATAAAAGGGTTTAATTTTCATTTGGTTTAAAATAAATGTTTAATGCCTTCATTTGATTTTCAGAAAAATTAAAACAAGAATTTCTGTAATTACACAGACTCAGAAAATAAAGTACCAAAAAAAGTTACCGTTGGGTAACCCAACCCCAGTCCCCAGAGACAATACGGCCTTTCGCACCGCTTTAGTTCCAGAACTAAATGTACAGTACTAAAGTACTGGGACGATTTTGCGCGAACCATTTAAAGGGTTGCATTCACACCGAGAGTGTGTACTAAGAAGTGACGTAAGCCGGTCGACAGCGTCGTCATTTGTGCGCGGCGTTCAACAACAGAAACAAAGAAGAACAACATTAACAACAGGAGGATGGAGGACGCTGTGATCGGTGCTGTGTTTTTGTTGTGTCTCGCGGGTTTCACAGTAATGGACATGGAAAGTCGACGTAGTTTTCAACACTCATAATAATAAGAAATGTTTCTTGAGCATCAAAAAGAATCATTTCTGAAGGTTCACATAACACTGAAGACTGGAAGAAAGGCTGCTGAAAAAATCAGCTTTGCCATCGCAGACAAAAGTTACATTTTAAAATTGATAAAAATAAAAAAAACAGCTATTTAAACCAATAATATTTAGCAAATTACTGTTTTACTGTATTTTTAATCAAATAAATGCAGCCATTTAAGCATATTAAACAAGGCTTAAATCAAAAGAACAGGCCAACACTAGAATTAAAGTTGAAAGTTAAAATTGAAGTTAAAGAGTGATTTTCAAAGCACTAAAGGATACAATATGAATATTACTGGATAGAGATTCATTTTCCTTGTTCAAATGAACGCCTTATTTTAAGCATTATGTAAAGTATAGAGTATACAACAGGGCCTGACTCTCCCCAGCCTGACCTTCAGCCTAAACTTTCAGTTGTGTCCCTGTAGACACTCACACACAGCTCACAGACAGCAGATATCATCTGCCATGAGAAACACCACAAATTAAACCAGAAAAACCTTAGTCTATTCAAATATTCCCAGAACCAGAAACATAGTAACGAAACAGTCCATGTGACATCAGTGTCTCAACTTCAATTTTACGAAGCTACGAGAATACTTTTTGTGCGCAAAGAAAACAAAAATAACAATTTATTCAACAATTCTTCTCCCCGAGTTACCACATTGATTACGTTCAGGGGAAACGTGCATGTGTATGCGTCATGGTACTATCCAAAATGGCAGAAGACGGTAACTTGGGGGAGAAGAATTGTTGAATAAAGTCGTTATTTTTGTTTTCTTTGCGCACAAAAAGTATTTTTGTAGCTTCGCAAAATTGAAGTTGAGCCACTGATGTCACATGGACTGTTTTACCGATGTCCTTACTACGTTTCTGGGTCTGGGAATATTTCAGTTGCGTTGCTGTCTATGGGAGGGTCAGAGAGCTCTCAGATTTCATCAAAAATATCTTAATTAGTGTTCCGAAAATGAGCAAAGGTCTTACGGGTTTGGAACGACATGAGGGTGAGTAATTAATCACAGAATTTTCATTTTTGGGCAAACCATCCCTTTAAGTTGAAGTCTAACTTTCTTATTCTTGGCTTGCAGTTCTGTCTCCTTATGCAATACACAAATTTTCTTCAAAGTTGCCTGTATCATAAACATGTTTGAGAGTGCACACATAAAACATGTCTCAACACGTCTGTCTTCCACAACCCATGAAAAGCACTCACATATATAACAGTGAAGTCCCCTGGTAGTGAGTGTAAAATATTTCTAAAGTGTGTTGTGAGAAACGCAGTTAAATTATTCTGAAAGAATACCATTCAGAGAAACACAACCATGTTTACTGCTTCCATCACACAAAACACACACACACACACACACACAAAATGGTTAAGTCCACTTTGCAGGGCACTTGGTCAACTGGAATGCACCTACTGCTTAACAATCTCAATTTCAATTTTACATCTGTAAGTGCCCCCCTTGAAGTCAGAGGTAACCACACCACTGGCCCATAGTCAAGCCTTGATTTGGTAATTTTTAACTAGTGCGGCCCACCCACATAACTTCTATGTGGGTGAAGTCTGTCATCCATTTTCTTTCTATTCCATTCTATTCTATTCTATACTGTCACTTGTGTCACAAGTATTACATTTTTTTTCTAATAAAAATAATCAGTGAAGAGTTATCGCATACAAATATAATAAAGAAAAAGTGTCAGTGAGGCAACAACAAACACATGCACAAACAAGCAGCCCAGTACAGTCTGTTCAGGCAGTCTCACACCCAACACTACCAGGAAATTATGCATTTATTAACATTTTATTACACTTACAAAAACGTACTATGGTAAGGTTTCTGTCAAAATACCGTAGTAACTAATTGCACTTATTTTCACTTAACTAAGTGAACTTGGTATCAGTAAACATCCCATAGGGGATTGTGCAAATTCGTTTTAATTTTTTTATTAGATTATCAAAACATATAAGTTGAATACATCAAAATAAATTACAATTAAACACATAAAATATTATTTATAGTAAAAAATGACAAAAATGATGGACATAAGTTACTGAATAAAAACTTTTAATTTTTTACTTTGTGGACTAAGACAGCTCTTTATATTAAAAAGGGCAGGTAGTTCCAATTTAATATCAATTTAAGGAGGTGAAAAGAACTGCGGTAACTTTTTAACAGAGTATAGTGATTACAAGAGTGATTACCCGTCTTTGACAAACTTTAGGACGTCAGCCATTTTATAACACTTTCAGTCAACCTGATCAAAGTTTGATGAGCAAGCCTAAACAAAGAAACCCATTTACTTCTGCATTTGGGATACTTTCTATACTTCTCTCAAGATAATATAAAAAACAATGTGCACATATAACCGGACTTTTCGATTAGAAGTCTTAATTACGAGATAATATTGAACCCAAACATTCCTAAAATGCGGTTACGCAATTCAATAGAAGTAAATCTACATCAAGATTTGTTAGTAACGTTAGTACCTGTACACCAGGAATGAGAATGTCCTTCTTTGGATCCTTTATGGCGAGAGCCTTGTTAAAAGAAACTTTAACCATATTGAACAGTTTCTGTAAGAGGTTATTTCCGCGAGATCGAGGAAGAAAGATAGCGCAAAATGAAAGCGTTTAGTTTCCTGATCAGCAGCGATGTCTGTGTGTGACGCAAATGACAGATCTTCACTTCTACAGCTCTCACTGCCTCTAGTGACAACTACTAGAAAATCCACTTGGAAAGTACCACTATGGCAAGCACTTTCTATTTCTCAATGCATTGTTAGAATTGATTATTTTAAAATGACCAGTACTTTTAATTACAGTTAAATGTAGAATATATAAGGACACAATTATAGTAACAACTAACATCTGGAATAATTCTTGAGAACCACAAAGCTGTAGTCTCGTCTAGGCGTCAGTGGACTTCAGCAGACTTCTGGGTGCCTCAAGATGACTTAAAAGGATTGTTTTTTAAAAGACAAAACAAGCTTTGAAAAAGCCCAAACAATAAGCTTTGAATATTGTTGGACACACTGTTTCCAACTTTAGTAATCAAAAGGTTGAGAACCACAGGGTATAACTGCAAAAAAAAAAAAAACTTTGTTTCCAGTTGTTGCTATTGTTAACAACAGTCTTTACTTTTATTTGTAACTATTAATTTGATGATTTAATTAAATTCTTCAGCTAAATCATTTCAATTAAATTCTTAACAGTAAGATTCGAAATGTTAATTAAGATGACAACAAGTGGATTTTTGCTTATTGACAAATCATATCATATCTGAATCACATATCTCTCTGGAATATGATTAGACGGACACATTCCCCACTGACTGCCATTCAAATAGAACATTTGCAATTTAAACATACAATGCAAAATATGCTAATAATCGAGCAATGACCAGCGCTGAGAAAATGAACAAGTACCAAATTACAACGGCATCTATAAGTGACAGGTATTGCAGTCATAACCAGTTATATGTTCTTCGTCGTTTACTCCGAGAACTGTTTATATCAGGGCTGTCCAAACTCGGTCCTGGAGGGCCGGTGTCCTGCAGAGTTTAGCTCTAACTTGCCTCAACACACCTGACTGGAAGTTTCTATGCCTAAGAGCTTGATTAGCTGGTTCAGGTGTGTTTAATTAGGGTTGGAGCTAAACTCTGCAGGACACCGGCCCTCCAGGACCGAGTTTGGACAGCCCTGGTTTATA